AAATAATAATATGAACCCTGTTTGTTTGTTTTTTTTTTTGACAATATACGAACCCTTGAAACAAAGATATTGCTATATTCCGATATTCTCGAGATGTTGGCATTTTTTTAAGTGATTGGAATTTCTTCAAAGAAACAGTGTAGCAGAAATTGTTTTAAAATCCTACATAAATAGAATAAGTAATTTCTTTCTTTTTTTATACAAAAGAAGTAAAAAAATGTTAATATCAATTAATTGTTAATAACAATCGTAAAAGATATACAATTTAAAAATGCAAATAAAAATACCTAGAAAACCTAAATGGAGATAGATGTTATTTATCCCAGGTCTCTCTACCAAATATCACCATCTAGAATAGATATCTCGTAAAATACCTCCGCCTATATTATAAAACAATTTTAATTTACATCTCATATACTAAATCTTAGAAAGCTCCTAAAATATCTCAACTCATATGAAACTCATATCCACGTACCTCTCCCTCTCCTTCTATTCATCTCTACGCGACACTATCCACCTCTGCTATATTACATTTATATATAAAAGCTTGATCTTACCAAAAAAAAAAAAAAATTACTGTTTTCCAAAATCTCTACATAAAACTAACTATTTCCTGAAAGGTTTAATAAATGTGCATGACAATGAAAGTTGTTTACTTATCCAATTTGAAGAGTACCCAATTTAAAATAATAAAGAATAGGGCAATGATGTCATGCAACTGCTGCATATTAATATGATGCAATAACTTTAAAAAATCATTTTATGGTCATTTGTTTGATCCAAATTTTGAAATATACACTCTTTCCATTCTTATGAAAATTCACAAAAAAAAAAAAAAAATTGAAAACATAACCTAGAAAGTATTTTTTAGCCCAATTAACATAGACCGTTCATTTTGCTGAAATGCTTAGATCTAGACCTTAAAAAGATTTTTTCGTTTCAATTTTTTTTGGATGGCTTTATTATCATTAGATGAACAATGTTAAAAAAGAAAAAAAAATGATTTTGAATTTATAAAGGCTAAGATCTTGAAATTCACAAAATGAATAGTCTAAATTCGTTTTTGGAAGACTCATTTTGACTATATCTAAAGTTCAAATTGAACTTTTTTTTTTTTTAAGAGAATTGATTATTGAGATGAAGATAGTGTGTGTGTAAAATTTGAGATCATATAAATACCACAAACATGGTTTTCTAAATGTGTCGCACTATACTATAATACAACCATTGCATTGGATCATTGCTCTAAAGAAAGGCGAGTCCATGATGTCATACAACTGTTGTATAGTAATATGATGCAATAACCTTAAAAAACCATTGGTAATAAAAAGGTACATTGGTAATGATAGGAGGCCCTAAGGTCTCCTCTTTAGAAGTCACATGCCCTACATCCTCTCTAAGGCCAGGTCTCTTTTTATTCTTACAACACATATCCACCTATTAACTCTAGCGTAATAATGTAGTATTGATAAGACCTAAATTTCATGTCAAAATAAGTTACTAAAAATTTAATTAAAAAACAAGGTTAGGCATGAGAAGCCCAGCAATCCTTCAGATCAATACCATGTATCTGCACACCTGAAATTTCCTTATATTGGAAAAAATTCTTTAAAATCAAAATTCAGGCATACAACCAACACTCAATCGCAACCAAACTAAATATCTTGTTTCTAAATTTCACAAAATTCTGGAACATGACATTGAATAATGGGATATAATTGCTATAGTTCCTTCTCCCTGTTAACATTTTTTTTTCCCTTCACAAAAGTTTCACATAATTCTCATCGGATTTCTCCAAAGTGATATCAATGGAAAAAAATAATGACAACATGGAAGCGCCCGGGCCAGTCGGATCATGTTTCTTCATAGATCGGATCTTCGTCCCGTGGAGCCAAATGGCCAAGAGGAGCTGCAAATCCTTGACCAAGCCCATCACTCATGGCAGATCGAACACCCTGTGTAACCAAAAATCTCTTAAAATGAGAAACCAGTGGTGTAGGGTGGATAAGTACTCCGTAAAAGAACGCACCATCCATTCCTGATGATAGATGGGTGAAAGCAACCATCACGAGGTGAATACCAAGGGGAGACCATTAATCTCCTTCATACGATAATGTGAACAAACGGTCGGTACCCCCTTCGTGTACCATATGCCATGGTGTATGGTATACTTTCAAATGAAGATTTTTCAAAAGATTACCGAAGTTTCTAAAGAAAACCTATAGCAATAGCAATTCTAAGAAGGGCTTGTATAATATGACACCATTTACTATTGTTACAAGAAGATCACAATCACTCCCAATCATTAGATGTCAAATTGGAGGGCTTGGGTTGTGTCACAAAGTTGAAAAAAAAAAATTAAACATCGAGTCCAGTCAAGGACACTTGCAACAACCCAATTTGAAATCCTAGACAAGAGTAATTGTGGCCTCCTTGTACTAAAAACAAATAGTCTCTTTATATATTTTTCCTAGAATTATGATTTTCAAGTTAAAAGACTTGGACAACGGCCATGTTCCCTTAGAAGAGGTCTGTCGGAGAATTATAGCCAATCTTCTCCTTCTACTATGATGGATGGTGGACAAGCTTAGTGGAAATATAAAAAAATTAAAGACACTTAAGAAAATCATTTGTGCACTAGCCTTTTCTAATTCAGTGCAGAGAAGAGGATTCTCTCGGAGATACTGCAAGGCTTTGTCCCTGCCTTGACCCAATCTGCTCCAAAAACCAAAGTGATCAAGAGCAATTGTATAAAGAAAACGAAACTATGAAAATTATGCCACTTCCGACGAATATATAAAAGGTAGCACTGGTTGCAGAATAATTTATAATGATTCAAATTGTAAGGGGAATATGTGTGTGTGTGCATGCGTGTGCATCAATTTCTGAGGAGTGAAACCACAATTGTGCAGGCCCAGTGAAAAGAACTCGATTGCCTTAGTGAGAAACTTTTTAACTACCGCAGCCAATATGTAACTATAGAATGACCATATATAGAGCACGAGTCAATAAATCATTAAAGGTGTTCCATGCCATTAATATGCACAGTTTGAGTGCATACCTCAAATCTGAATAGCTATACCACGAACCTTTCCTCGAAACAATATCCATCATTTCAGCACAATCCAATATACAACCCTAAAAGCATGCAGTATCAGTCATAATAAAGAAATTTAAATTATGCAGAAATTAACCATTAAAAAAGTCATTGAAATGCATATCAGCATCACTGACCAAATTACCAACTCCCTCCCCAAATATAATATCAAACTCGGCCTGCTTGTAAGGTCTTGAGACCTGAGACACAATCAACAAAATATACTAAGATTGATATTCTTGTAGACTGTTTAAAAAATAAAAAATAAAGCCTAAGCTTGATCTACAATAGACATGAAAGACATCCCTAAACAAAAAAATTAAACGATACATTTATTTCTATGACAGAAGCTCCTGAAATCTTTGCCTGAAAGGTTCCAAATTTCATTTTCGTGTAGTTTTTACTAACATGAAACTAAGGCCCTTCAAGGAAAGGGGTATAGAGGTGACATCTTAGTTATTCATTTCTGATATCCATAGCAATTTTATGAGACTTGCCCGAGTCCACTCGGACATTGGCGAGTAACTCCCCTTGCCCTATTGGCAAAGCGAGTTTGGATGTCCAAGGAGCCCAACTCCAGAAACCTGGGAAAAAAAAATCTTAAACATATATAAAAAGCTAGAAAATACAATATTTGTTAGTAATATGTTTGTAGATCCAGTATCAATCCACAGAAGTTTTTATTTGGATTGGATCTATCGTTTCTTTGATAGTTTCTTGCAACAAACCCTAAGTTGGTGAACCACTTCTGCCATCTTCTCACTTTCTCACCATGTAGGCATCCAAAATTCTTGAAATCAGATTTGTTGTTATGCTCATTGGATCCTCCACAGATTACATGTTTGTTCGATTATAGAAAAAAAAATTGATAGATCTGGCTTAAAAATCTCAGGTCTGTTGAAGAATACAATGTTCTTCAAACCAAACCGATCAGCCATTTGCTTGATTTCTCATCATTTTGTCAACTAAATTCATGAAACTATGTTCATTTTTTGAAGCTTATTGTGTCCTCCGCAGAAGCCCTAGGTTTGTTTCTTTGATTTGAGCAAAAAGCTTGAGAGAACTGGCTCCAAAATCTCCGGTCTGTTGAAGAACAGTGCTCTTCAGCCCGATCCGCCATTTGCTGGATTTCTCATCATTTCCTCAACAAAATTTCATCAAATTAGGTTCATTTTGAAGCTTATTGTGTCCTCTACAGAAACCCTGGGTTATTGATTCGAATTAAGCCAAACAATTGATAGATCTGGCTCCAAATATCAGATCTATTGAAGAACACATTATCTACTTCCAAGACAATTTTTTGATCAATTTTCTTTTGTTTCATTAGTTTCACTTCAAAATATAAATTTTTTGAAAGAATTATATTGGTCTGGATTTATAGGGTTTTTTTTTTCCATTTTTAGGGATTTTTCCACATTTTTTCAGGCTCACCTGAGCCCTTTCCTTACTCAGGCATGATTTGGGCAAGTCCCTTGGACTCTGCCCAAGTCCCTCGCCTAGGCCAAGGGCTGAGTACCTTGGCCGAGACGTGTTCCTTAACACTTATCTGTTCCGTAACACAGATCCATAGTATAATTTCGAAGTACTGGCAATTAGCAATGATAATTTGACCATGCAATATTTTAGAAATGGGAAGCCTCAGAGACCATTAAAAGGAAAGATATAGACAACCAATATCCGGAACAATATGAGTAGTGAATATATAAAATATTTTAGATGCATTTAATAGTGTAAACATACTGCCATTACCATATTATGGAATTTCCCAAACTCCAAATAATTTTGCAAATTGGTCTTGTCAAAATCAAATGCCACGGTAAGAAGGAAAAGTTCATTGATCATCACAATGCATTCACTTCTCCTACTCGTAGGCCAGTAAGGATAAGCAACCAACATATGCAAAAGGTACACAAAGCAGGCAACTCTATTTGCTCAATACTTATGGTGAGGAGCCACATTTTTCAGGATAAACAAGAAGAGCCACATTAATACATATGAAGACAATAGTTAAACTCCCATTGCATTTACCATAGTTAAACCCCCATTGCACGATGATCTAATGTACCTTGCTCTTCTGCACTCTTACTCGAACCTTTACTCCAATATCTTCATCCCCTTTAGGCTGCACAGAAAGAGTGAGCACAATCAAATGCACCACCCTATGTCAATGAGGAGAATTTGAACCTCTTGTTCTTTTTAGGGAAACTATACTATAAACCAGTGGACTATGACAAATAATAGTCCATGCTATTGTCATCACCACCCTGTGGAATGTAGACGGTGATGGAGGGAGGACATACAACCTTGGATTATTGTATAGTTTCCTTTTTCACTGTGTGAAATTTATAGAAAATGCAATTCTTAAATAAAGTTTTCTTTTGGAGTTTGGGCTTACAGACTTTATCTTCCCAATAGGACGTATTTCAAGGCGAACAGAGGCAAAAAACTTCAACGCAATCCCTCCACTGGTAACTTCAGGGTTCCCATAGAATACACCAATCTTACAACAATCCATAGAAAATGAAACAAATTAATAGGTAGCAGAGAAGGAAAATTTCTTGTAAATCCAAATAATAAAAGACCAGAGAACCACCTTATATCTGATTTGGTTCAAGAAAATAAGAGTACAGCCAGCTTTCGAGGCATTGCCGGACATTTTACGCAATGCTTGGCTCATAAGCCGTGCTTGTAAGCCCATTTGCTGCATGCCAATTTCACCCTACAAGCACATTGCACCAAGCAGAAAAGTTCTCCGTATCATGTATCTTAACCAAATTCTTTAAAATGATAAACTAATGGCCTAGAGAAAGCCATAGTCCATTAGGGACCATCCAACAAAATGGGATAGTGATGGATAGGGAGTAAGACCCACAATTGGGGTTATGCCCTATTCTGGTTGTTCCCACCAGTGCTTCATGCCAAAGTTATGGTGGATCCCACTCTTTCCATCAGCGTCCATCATTATCGAAAGGTAAGGAACAATGGACCATGGTTCTCAGTAGTACATTGGATCATGGTGTACTTTTCCAGTAAGAACTAAGAAACTTACTTCAATTTCAGCCCTTGGAGTAAGAGCTGAGACTGAATCAACACAAATGAGATCTACTGCTCCAGATCTGCACATACGGTCCGCAGCTGAGATGAAGACATGTCAGTCAAACATCAAAAATATATGAACATAAATGCTGTATCAATTTTTATCCATGCGTTTACAAACCTAGAAACAATTTGACGAACTGAAAATCACAAGAAATAACTAAGACAGAATTCTGTTACATCTCCAAATTTAAAATAAGAAATATCAGCAATTTTAAGAATTAATGGGAAGAAGAAAAGAAAAATTTCAAGAGGTTTCTTTATGAATATGAGATCTGTTCATCACAAAGAGTGTTACATAGACACCTACGTGAGTGTCTGTGTGGGACCAGTGTTGAAGGTGTCTCATACCTCAGCCCAAAAAGTCAATATGACAAGATGTGTACCTGCACTTACTATTTTAGAATTAATTAATATGTTTTCAAATATATGCAATAAAACATTCCTTTTCATTACATGAAAAGAACTTGGCAAAGTGGGAGACAAAACGGCATCTTTACAAGACATCTTGAGCCCAAACTAAGGCCTTGAGCTAAATATGATTTTCTTATCACACCCGACATCGGGATGTGCCGACACATGTACCCCAGCCAAAGGCTAGAGTGTCAGGGTTAAACACTAATAACGGACATTATCAAATGGCCAGCAAACAATTTAAATGGAAGATATTGTACCCACAAAGGCAAGGAACACCTGATACTCTTTTTTCCCTTTTGTCTTTTTTTCCTTTGTTTTTTCTTGACGGTTAAAAGGAAAAGCTGATGTACAAGCATTGCATGGTTATTCCATTGTGCTTGGTGCAATAATTTCAAATTTCCACCTTCCAGGGCATGAAAATATAAAAACCAATGATAAGTTCATAGATTAAAGAAAAATCATTTTCCATCTAAGTCAACATGCACACAAACAACATGAACACAAAATTCGAGCCTAAAAAGTATACACAAACATGAATACGCAGAGTCCAACCATACGTTCAACATTGCAAATACGACATTCCAACACAGGTAAAAATAAATCCCTCTCTCGATCATTCCACTTTGGAAATCACCCTAAACACACTATTAAACTAACAATGCAAATAAAGGAGTATTTCTATAGTTCACACTTTATTAAAAGGCTAGTAATTTTTGGTATATTTCAACAATAATCATATAGCAGTAAAAAAATTTGGAAAGTATTAACTTCCTGAAGACCCATATTGACAAAAATATCAAGAAAAACAGAGGCTATTATAGAAACAAAAAGTTCAGATAATTCATAAGTCACAATGATTTTTTTTTTTTTAAGAATCTGTTAACTTCACAAGTCACAATGATATTCTTAACATACATCAGGAAGGGATTATTACTTTCCAGTGCCATCTCTCCATTATCAGGTTGGCAAACAATTAAGTTTTCTACGTCTACTCCCAAAGACCTTGAATAAGCCGGATCAAAAGCATGCTCAGCATCAACAAGCATGGCATTTCCTCCAAGTTTCTGCATTTTCACAGCAAGTTTTCAGTAAGTTCTTCATTTTAACAAGTAATCATCACTGGAACAATTTTTCGTCAAGTCATTAGGCAAACATACTTGCCTACTGGCAGTTCCGTAATACTGTTAATGAAAAATACCAATAATATAAGCCATTGTTCTTTTAGATAGAAACAAAACTACCACGATAACATAAAAAAAGGAATTATCAGGACAGTACCCAGGACACCTGCATAGATCTTGAAGGTGTTCCAGAGAGTTTAATTATCAGGACAGGAATTGGACTAATCGATTTTCAAAACATGCTAATTTAAAATACCATTATCAAGCAAAACCAAAAATGTGTCAAGAAGTAAATACCTGCACTTCTGCCATCGCATGGAGTGCTAATGTAGTCTTCCCACTACTCTCTGGACCATATATCTGATTACAATCATAGGTAAGAGATGAACATTCAATATCCATGCCACCTGAAAATCTAAGTATCTAGAAGTACACAAAATTTTACTCTCAATGCTAAGAGAGAAAGATATTGGTTCTTAGAAAATGGTCTTTGTAAGATTATAACCTGAACAAACATAACTTTCATCTAGTGGATATGAGATAGGACCTAGTAAAGTTGTTCCCTTAAACACATTAACAATAGCAACTTGTTGATTGCAAACAGAGAAAAATAAAAGAAGTATCGATGTTCTGAATTCAGTGAATAAATGCAATAAAGAGTCATAGAAATTGCCTCAACAATTCGTCCTTTAGGAAGACCACCACCCAGTGCCAAGTCCAAGGTTAAACAGCCACTAGAGAATGTCTCACTGTAGCACACATACATTACTTCAGCAACTAAATAATCATAAGGACATAATTAAAACATAATGAAAGTAGAGACAAATCCATCAAATGAGAAGAGTTCATACACTAGAGCTCCTCCAGCACTGCCTAATCTCGTAACACTTCCTTTGCCAAATGAGTTGTTTATGTCATTCATCGCTGCTTCTAATGCCTTTTGCTGCAATAGAAACCCAAAAAAATTTGAACAACAAATTAACAAAACAAGTATGAAGATAATCCAAGTCAACCTTGATCCAAGTGCATGATATCAGACAAGAAAATAAGAACACTATGATTTCTTTGTTATAAGTAAAACCATTTTGGGTATAGTACAACAAAAATAGCTTTACTTATAACAAATAAATCATAGTATAGCAACAATAGCTTTACTCGTACATATCACTCGACTTGGTGAGAGATATGTATGAGGGAGCACTAACTAGTATGCAAAAAACTAGTGGAGAGACGAGTGAGTCTTCAGTGATAATAGGTCGACATCAGGGGTCGGCATTGAACTCATTCCTCTTTATCTTAGTTATAGACGACTTAACTAAGCACCTACAAGATGAGGTACCATGGTATATATTACTCGCGTACGACATAGTTTTATCGATGAGACCCAAAGCAGTGTCAACCCAAAGTTAGAACTTTGGATGGATGCTTTAAAATCTAAAGGCTTTAAAATTAATCGGACTGAGACAGAGTATATAGAATGCAAGTTTAGTAATAAATAGCAGTAAAGATGAGGAAATAGTTAAGAATGATGGCCAAAAAATACCAAAAAGAGCGCACTTTCGATACCTTGGATCGATAATCCAGGAAAATGGACAGATTGAAGAAAATGTCACACATAGAATTAAAGCTGGGTGGGCAAAGAGGAGAAGTGGAACCGAAGTTTTATGCGATCGCCGCATACCAATGAAGCTGAAAGGGAAGCTATGTAGGACAGTTGTGAGACCAGTGTTGCTTTATGGGCTGGAATGTTGGGCGGTCAAAAAAACAACATACCCACAGGCCGAATGTAGCTGAGATGAGGATGCAGAGATGGATGAGTAGCAAGATAAGAGGGGATAGAATTTAAAATAAATTCATTCGAGTGAACTTAAGTGCTGCTCCAATAGGCGATAAGATGAGAGAAAGTAGACTTAGGTGGGCTAGGCATGTGCAATGTAGACCCAATACAGCACCTGTCAGGAGGTGCTAGTTGGTTCAAGTTTAAAGCCCAAAAAAGCAAGGGGTAGACCCAAAAGGACATGGCTGAGAATCATGAGAAAATATATGTTAACTTATAGCCTAACTGAGGTATGGCCCTTGATAGAGCAAAATGGCATACCAGAATTTGTGTAGCCGGCCCCAAATAATTGAGAAAAGGCTATTATGATGATGATGAAGAAGTAAAACTATTTTTGTTGAATTTGTTTATAAAAAAAAATATACCACTTGTTGAAAGAAGATAAAGGACCAGGTGCATGGAAGAAAATGAAAAAAGCAAAAATAAAGGCCACTTACGGTCACAAAACTCCAAAAAAACAACGGAACTCATCATTATTATTGAGATCTAACAAGGTCTAAAATGATAACAGTGCTTATTAGGTTCATTTCTTATCTTCTGAAAAGGTAGAGATTAAAACCCATTAGAATGTAGGAATTCTGCATAAAATTGAGGGTATAATTGTGATGCCTCATAGTGGATAATGGGTATAGCTGCATTTCCTCCTCATCTCAGCTTCACACCCAATGTAAGCCCAAGTATTGATCAATGTCAATCAACAAACATCTCCTCACTTACTCACATATGAAAATACATATACGATATACCTGGGCCTTCCTCACATAAAAAATCACAAGAAGCCCAAATGCGGTTATGAATCCTAATGTACTAACTCAAGGACACTCTTTTGTGAATGGAAAACCTTGAACAGCTCCAAGAACAAAACATAAATTGCCCAATAATGACCGCCTCACTAGCCACAAGCTCCACCTAATGGTTATTCACTACCCCAAATCAGTAACACAACCACTAAACCACTTATTTGCAATGACCCATGTCCCTAGATATCATATTCCACCCCCAAAGTATCAACTCTACCATAAGAGAACCCAAGGCCACCTTAATATTCTCTAATAAGACACCTATAGAGCTTACCTCTACACCAAGTCCCAATTACGAAATTCATAAGCAACTTCAATATAGTTCCAAAGCAAACTAATGGCCCAAGAGAGAGAGTTTCATAATTCACCCAAATTTGTTTGTAATTTCATGTGTGAATTTTGTTGATGTCAGATAAGTTTAGCATACCATATGCTGCATAGTGTTTGTAATTTTCATATGTGTGAATTTTGTTGACGTCAAATAAGTTTAGCATAGCATATGCTGCATAGTGTTTTTCACATTTACTTAGGAGACTATCTGTCATCTTTCACCATTTCTATGCATGTGTCACAATAGTTGGGCAAAGAGGCAAACTAATGATAAACTGCACGGTTATTGTTCATCAAAATCAGATGTTTTCTCTTTTTTGGGAGATCTTAATGACTATTTCAATCAATGAACCCGTTGAAATGACCCAATACATATGAAATTTGGTTGAAAGACACCCAAATACTGCCCAATTCTCTTTTTTTTTAAAAAAAAAAAGCAACACTCTTTTCTCTCTCTTTCGAAAAAGAGTATGATTTGCTCATTTCGCACAATTTTATCAACTACAAACTAAGCAAGGTAAGTACTAAAAAAAAAACCTAAATATTAAGCTAGCGATAAACAATGATGAAAATGACTCACCCGATCGACGGAACGAGAATCTGCATCACTGAACAGAGCTCCATTACCCTTTGCCTCCGCATCACAACGAAAACGAACCCTTAAAATCCTTTCAAAACGGAGGTTAGAGCAGACCAGTGGGAATTTATTTACAGGAAATGCATAGAACTTGCTAGGGCAAATGCAGTCCATTTCTGAAGCAAAGAGTTCAGAGAGATAGCCTTGTAATCAATGGGATACTGGGTACAGAGGACAAGATTCATAAACGAGTTTAGTTCGAAAAACCGAGAAACGGAACTTTAAATGTTCACGTGTGTATAGAGATAAGAGAGCACGGAGAAGTAGCAGGTTCTTGGCGTTAGGGATGGGAATGGACCCGGACCCGACCCGCTCCCGAGATTGGTCCAAGTAGTGGACCTATCCGATCCGTCCAGGTCCAAAATTTGGAGCCGAACATTATGCAGCTCCTCGTTTGGGACCATGTAGAACCCAAATAATATTATTATTAAAACAATAATTAATATATAATATTTAAATAACGACAACTATATATTTTTACTTCTAATATTTAAGTATAGGTTATGTTATATATATATATATTTAATTTAATATTTAAATTTATATATTTTGATTTTTGGATCAGGTTTGATCGGCTCGGTTGCCTTGTTTCCACTGTTGTTTAGATGGGTTCGAAAGAAGAGAGAGAGGCTACACATAGAGGAGAGAGAAAAGGAGTATATATTGTTCATCAAACCTTATACTATAGAATTAAGGGGCACCAGATTAAAGGTGCACTTCAAAACTCACAAGTCACTAGAAAATATTATTTTGATAATAAAAAACCTCTAATTGATCATCTCAACATTAGATGTATGGATGTGGAAAAATAGATTTTAAGTCTTTGAAACAATATATTTTGTAGTGTATCATCCGGATTTTAGACCATCTATTTTTCATATTTTTAAGTGTTTATAGATATGTTTGATATGCACTATTTTAAGGTTTAAATTTCATAATTAACGAAAAATATAGATTTTTTTTTACCATCAAATAGATTTTTGGCACGAAACAGCATCTCTTGGCACCAAGGTGCCCCTTATTTTGATTATTTAAGATGTCAACCTTATGCAAACCTCACCCAGAAAAGAAATGTATTGTACTATATAATAAAATTATTTGCATTTGATACACCACAGTCATAATTATTATTAATAGATAAATGTGAAATTGGATGGTTGAGAGTGTGTCATTGAGTGGCACAAAATCTAAAATAAAACTTCTCCAATTATATATCACTACGGAGCTCAGTAAGCAGTTCATATCAATGGTTTGTGATTAGTGAATAACTAAAACGATTGGTAATGAAAAATCCGAATCAAATAGACTATTTTTAAGGTCCATATTCCTTTTCTCCGAACTCATTATCATTAGCCACTAAGAAAATCTTAGGTAAAATATCCATCTCCTAGATGGATTTTTTTAAGGAGATTGTATCTAAATAGATGCATTAACTGACCCAATAAAATCCTGTTCAAAACGTATCAGGAATTGTATACTATGAGACCATATGGCATTGTTACAAAGACATTACTGATACCCCTAGCCATACGATTACAAATTGAACAGCTTAGGGTGTCTCAAGAAATTCAAGAATTTTTTCTCTTTGAACACTGAACGAAACAATAACATACTCACACCAACTTGATTTAAAACCTAACAGGCAAAAGTGATTGTGAGCTCCTCATGCTACAAATAAATAGTCTCTTAATGTGCTTTTTCCAAATTAATAACACAACCAAGGAAAACAGTTTTAATTACATGGTTGCTTTCTCGAGTACTCTAGTACCTAATAAAGTTTTTACAATACCCAACATGCCTATGTTCTATTTGCAAAAGAATGTAGTTTCTATAAAATCAATTATTTTCTATGAAAACGAAGTAAAACCTCACCTTGAATCCTCATCCAAAAAGTACTTTGGGCATCGAAAATTTTTATAATGGCTATAAAATCAACTCCTATAGGTTTTGCATACAATCATATTGATCTTAGTAAAAGGTGCTTTAGATGCACATAGTTCCAAGACCATACCGACTATGAAATTTGAAGCTAAAAAATTGGCATAGATCTTACAGATCTGTGAACACTTATTATTAAGGTAAAATAGACAGTCTAGATAATATGTTATAATATATATTATTTTTAAGATTTAAAATCCTTGTTTTTTCTTTTTTTTTTTGCAACCATAATAGTCAAGCCCAAGATGATTGATTTGAAGTTTTTTCAATCCCATAATTGTAATTTTCAATGAGTTTTGAGATGAGGTTTTACTTATTTCAATTGGGCTGCAAACCTATCAAAACACCCTAAATTAGTGGCAAAATTAACAAAATACCCCTTCTACATGCAACTTGGAAGTCAATGCAATAAAGTTATAATAAAAATACCTATTTCCAAGTTTAGAACCCATAACAAGTTGCTTTGGTTTTCTGACTTGATTACTTGGGACAAACCATGTAAAATACCACTACTTACAGGGGGTTTCAAATCTGGAACACAATATTATATGAAAAACATCATGATCCAGTGTTTAAACCTACACAACATAAATAAGGCTAAACTAACTTATCTAAGGATTCGGAGAAGGGGCTAGGGTTGTGGTGGTAGCACCCCCGCACCTTAGTCACCACATTATGGTTTTCATTCTCATTGACACTACCACATTAACACCTTCAAAAAACTAACTCCTAAACTATTTGAAAAAATAGGTTAAGGGTTTAACTTCCCCACTAAATTACCCAAAAAAAAAAAAAATCGAATGACTTTTACTTGTTTAGGATTCTAATCCGCAGATATGATTATTAGTTGTCTGCCCATTTTAATGATATTTTCTCATATATTTATATGAGAGATGGATTTGAAGGGATGATTATAAGTGGGAGAAAGCGCATACAATATTCCCAACATTTTCCTTCACCTCACTGCAATTATTGACATAGTTTCCACTCATGCAAGGCAATGAACATTTTTTATAATTGTAAACTAAGAATATGACGGGAAACCATGTCAATGATTGAATTGATCTTTAAATAGTAGCAAGCCAATTTGCCAAGTCCCACATCAGGAGGTTGTGCCTTTCAAAACACAGAGTCCCAAAATGTAGATAAATATGATATCTCAATCTCAATTAGTCTAATCCGACTTGTTGCTTTCAATTTGTCTGTATATTTATTTTATCTATATTCTACTCTACATATATTAAGCCACAGCTAAGGATGGTGATTCCTTGCATTCAACTAGAAGAAGATCTTACAAAGAGATAAACTTTGAGGTATGATTCTAATTGAGAGGAACTCTACTAGAAGTGTTGAATAACCTATATCCCAGTACAAATAAATATTTCTATTGAAAATTAACCAGTAGTACACCTAATCTCTATCCAAGTTAGAAGTAAGTATTTTAGTTGTATATATATATATGTATAGAGAGAGATTCTCTGGTGTTACAGTGATTACTGTCTTTATCACAAATCTAATTTCAAGCACTTTAATTGCCCTCCTCCTAATGCATGCTTTCAATGGAATGATATAGCATATCCCTTTAAAAATTTTCGAGTAGCAAAGAAATTTAACAAAGCTACATCCAATGAAATAAATGCACCTTGTGTGTGTGTGTTGTGTGTGTGTGTGTGTGTGTGTGTTTTTTTTTTTTTTTGAGGGAAGGGGGATGGGTGGTGGAGATTTTGCTAGCCCAAAAGCTGATACAATAGTATACACCCAATGGCCTATATTTATTATGGGTAGATCCCTCAAGAGTATACTATCCATTTCTTCCCTCGAGTAAAATCCCAAACATGATTAGTTTTAGGACCCAAAATTTGGGGGATATAACTTCTTCAATCTATTGACTAATATCAACAAAAAGAGCTTACTTGTTTACCCTTTATGTATTTGAAAAAACTAATGTTTTAAGATTGATAGAGACTGTCCAATTTCTAGATGGTGAGAACTATGTATTAGAAAACTCAAATTTAAAATCTTTTTTCTTTTGAGAATAATCATCTAGCAATTATTAGGTGGTTTCCAAAATTGCAGGTTGAAAAAAATCCTCCCAAGTAGGTATTTTGAACGAAGGAGTAAATGTAAACTATCTCATGTGGGAGTATAATATAGTATAATATATGTGCCTATAAAATACAGAGTGAAGATTTGTACAACCTTAGATCTATAGGAAAGTTGCAACCTCGTATAAACATCTACCAAATTTATTTTCCATCAAGTTGCATTAAAGAAATACAAAAGTTTATATAAGGTTGCAACCTAATACTTGAATATTCAAGTACCTCAAAAATTATCTAAAAGAGTGTCATGACATTGGAAAACAGTGTAATCAATCATCTTGACCTGAAAAAAATGAATTTTTAAGTTTTAAAAATAGTACATTTTGTTACAAATTTTAAAGAAGAAAGTTTATACGACGATAAGGCCCTATACGATAAAATTAAGGTGCAACCTAAAATTTATTAAAAAATATTGTTTCATTGCTAGAAAACCTTCAATTTGATCATCTTGACATCAATATTTATGAGCATGAGAAAACAAAAATTTCAAGTCTTAGGAATAGTGTATCTTATAATGTATTATCTAGATCATGGCTGTTCATAAATCTACTCGATCTACACCATTTTTAAAATTTTAATTTTATAATTTTGTAATTAAATATAAAAATAAAATTTTAGGCCATATAAATATTTCTGATATTGAAAAACATATTTTGGTACCATTTGAAGGTGCGCCCTACTTTGATTGTTTAGGGCTTCAGCCTTGTACAAACCACACCCATTTTTAAATTAGAGGGCAAAATAGATTTTACTTACCAAAAAAAATGAAAAAATAAAAAAATAAAAAAAGAAGAAGGGTAAAAGAGATTTTCATGTCGCCATAGAATGTCCAATACCGGAATTATATGTGCCAGCAAATATTAAAGGCGCTCAACAAATAACACACATTAAAGAAAAAGCTTCGCCGTAAGGTTTTTTCTTTTCGTATTATACTTTTATTAAGAACTATATATAAACCACCTGTTCGACTTGTCCATAAAGAGGTTTTTGTTTTCTCTCACTCACTCTATTGTTTCTGATTTTCCTATCTCTCTCTCTAGATTCTCTCTCAGAGGCGCAGAAGATTTTAGTTCTTGCTCTTTGCTCTTTGTTTAAGGTATGTCTCTTTTACCTATTTGTGGTCATGTTTTATGCTTCTACTTCATCCTTATTGTTTAGGATATGGGTTTTGTTAGTTTTCTAGGGTTTCTTGTGTTACAATTATTTCTCTTTTTTGTTTGTTATATTTTATTGTGATTTTTCATTAGATGCTTAATGCTGTCATCACCCCTGCAATGCGCATTTTTTTTACTAGTTAGCATCAATCCCTAGTCGTTACAATTTATTGTTTACCTACTTCAGAGTGTAGAAAACTCATCTGAATCAAATTCCCTGAGTTTAAAATTAGGGCACGATTTAGATATGGGATTTCTGTATCTTTGGCATGCAGGGTCCATTAGAGCGCTTTTATTGGACTGTTTGAGAGTCGTGAGATTTTCTTTAGATTCTATACAAAATTGTGAAGAAGATGGTGTTTTGAATGGTGATTGAAATCTGTTGTATTTCAGTTTGAACCATTAATTTTGGATGTGCTGAGTTGATTTCTTTTATCCTAAAGAATACAGAAGGGTTGGTTAATTGTGCTGTTTTGGGTTTAATTATTGGCTTTCATGGTTTCTTAAGCTAATATTTAGTTTATTATATCCTTATGAAAGTGGGAGTAATTGAAAGTCAAAGAATATTGGGCCGACTTAAATTTGTTTTATTCAGGAAATCAATCGATTTATTGTGGTTTGTTTGGTGTTGTCAATGTTTTGAACATCGGCGTGGGCCTTGGACTTGTCCCTAGCCCGAGCAGAGTGACTCGACAAAGTCATGTACAAGGACAAAATATGCCCATTAAGTAGAAAAAAATGTTAAAAATAACTAAAAAAACCATCAAAAACTAATTACGCAACATAAATCGTTAAAAGTCTATTCAAGGTGGACAAAGTATACAAAATATGTATTATTGGGTATTTTGATTTCTACATTGGAATAATTCAGAAAAATAGAGAAATAAAAATAAAAAGAATGGAGCATGTACTAAGGAAAGTTCCCAAATCATCATAAAAACTGTAATAATCATATAACATTGTATTTCTAAATCGTACAGTGATTGTTCAACAACATGTATTTTTCTTTTTTCACTTTTTGACTCGTGACTCGTTCACTTGAATTGGATGAGGCCAAGTTACGGGAATGAGCGCATGAACACTGGGTGTGGTTAATGACTTCCATGTTTCTTATAGCAATTGATTGTTTATTCTGCTATTTATAAGAAAAGGGATTGATGGAAGGGCTTCACTATTATTTTTTTCACTAGTATTACTTTTTGTGCTATTGCCCTAAGCATTCCACAAGTCTCTATTCCTTAGTTTTTTGCTTTGGGGGGATTTGATCGTTTTAGTTTTGCTATTATTTCATTTTATGTTCATTGTCTTAATTTTCCAGCCACTCTAATGAAAAACATGGATCACTTGAACTCCTGTTTGTTATTTTACTGTGTATTTTACTTGTGTTGTTAATTCGAACTTCCATGTTTGTGTGCAACTTAATTAGAACCTCCATGCTTGAACTTTACATATAGAAATGCTCTCATATCAGTGCTTGCATTTGTATGCAGGTTTGCAGATTGTCAATCACTTGTCTCAATTATTATTTAGGGGCTCAATGGATATGGAATGGAGCAAGGCAAGAACTGCAGATGTGGAACAATTAAGGGACGAGGAAGCAGAAGAAATGGAAGAAGAAAATGACAGTGGGCTTGGTAAGGGCATAAGTTCTAGTTCAAAATACAAGGAGAAGTCCATAGAGTCACGAACTAAGGATCATCAAAAAAATAGAGAAAGGCATAAGGATGGGGATAGAAAGAAAGAGAAAAGGCATGAGGATTCAAATCACAGGGACAGAGATAAAGGGAAATCTCGAGCATCTTCAAAGGAAAGAAGGAAGGACGAAAATGGGGCTGAACGGAGAAGAGTGAAGGATAGAGCTGGGAGCATTGAGAATAACAGAGAGATGGAGCAGGGAAAGAGTAAGAGGGAAAATGAGCATCACAGAGATAGAGAAGATCATAGTAGGGACAAAGAGCGAGAAAGGGATAGAGAGCGTAAAGAGCATGACTGGGATAGAGATAAGGAGAAGGAGAGAGACAAGGATAAAACACGAGAGAAAGAGCGTGACAGAGATAGGTACACTGATAAGGAACATGATAGGGACAGGGAGCGAGATAGGGCTAGAGAGAAGGAAGATGACAGGGGAAAAGAGCGAGACAAGGAACGAGAAAAGGATAGAGAGAAAGAGAGAGAACACGATCGTGATAGAGAGAAAGAGAGAGAACACGATCGTGATAGAGAGCGAACAAGAGAACGGGGGAAGGAGAAGGAAATAGAGAAAGAGAGGGAAAGGGAAAAGGACAAAGATAGAGAGAAGGAGAAAAACAAGGAGAGAGAGAAAGAGAAAGATCGATCAAAGGATAGAGAAAAATTAAGAGATCGGCAAAGAGAGAAGGACATAGAGAGAGATGGGTTGGAAAAGGACAGAATGAAGGAAAAACTTAGGGAAAAGGAAAAGGAAAGAGACAAGTATAGAGAGAAGGAGAGAATTAGTGACAAAGAACGTGATAAGGTTAAGGGCAAAAGTAAGGATCACGGTCGTGATAAGGAGTTTGACAGAGGAAAGGAGGGAGAAAAGGAGGCTAAGCCTAAAATAGATGCCTGGGATGGCAGGGATATCACAGAGCAAGAAGATAATGTACAAGATGACAAGGATAATACATATGATAGGACCGGTGCAATGGATCACAAAGAAAAGAATGAGATACAAGCAGGGGTTTCTCGACCATCAACCTCAGAAATTGAAGAGCGGTTAGCAAAGTAAGTGCACTATCCTAGTATCTCTTTCTTCCCCATATCATATCCACGTGTTCCCTTTCTAAATTATATTGTAGCAATTTCATGGTGCAATGTGCATCAGAAATTTATAAATGGCCATGCTTTTGAATACTATTGTCCCTTGTTTCATTCATTGTTTGTGCATCTGCATGTTGTATATTGATATAGAGTTAAAGGCATAGATAGGTGTGGGTGCCTGCATACACACACATATGTCATTGTATTCAACACATTCACATGCATGCAAATGTATTTGCATATGTGTACTTATATTGACATTGACATAGAGATATCCACATGTGCATACATATCTGTTGATATGCATATGGGTATGAGTGAGCACGCATACATATATTTCTGTTATGTTTCTGAAGTGTTTGGAAAACAAACAAACGAGGAATAAAAATAAAAGTAGTAATTGGAGGCATGTTACAACCGAAATGGGATATGATAGAACTGAAAGCATTTGTTAGAAATATCAAATTATGTTAAACCAGAGAAATTTTGCTTATCATTTTCGGGGCATGTGACATGAAAACGCCATAACACGTAGTTAGAAAATTATGTAGAGGGAGCAAAAGGGTTTTTGGTTTATATTAAGAGATCAGGATGTATCCTTTGCCATGCATATAAATGTAAATGGGAGTTGGTAAAAAGAAAAAATTTGTGTAGGATGCAAAGTCCAGTGAATCAACATCTGGAGAACATATCACTGCAAATATAATTTCACCTGATGATAAACCCAAGTTAAGGCCTTTTTCTGCGTTTTTGGTTTTCCTCTCAATGCCTTTGAATTATATCACATAAATGATAACATAAGTGATGCTTGACATGCCATGTAAAATGCTTACACAGCTGTATGCTTAGAAATACAATTTGAAATTCCTTCATTAGTTGCATGAGAAGGCATCTAGCTCTAGAGGGGCACACACTGAGTGAATCTAAACTAGGTTTATATGAAGGGTGTGGTTTTTAGAAGGTTGCAACCTTAAGCAATCCAATTAAGCGCACCTCCAAATTTTATCAGAACATGTAATTTTGGTGTAAAAATTCTTAGAATTATCTGAAAATCTCTTTTCATCTCTAATTGTAAAATTTTAAACTACAAAAATGGTCAAAATCAAGTAGATCTATAAACATATGAAAATCTTGAAAATGGACGGTCTAGATAATGTGTTGCAAGATGTACTATTTTTGGGACTGCAAATCCTGTTTTTTTTTTTTTCATATTCATTCATCTCAATGTCTAGATGATCAATGAGAGAGTTTTTCAACATTAAAACAACCTTTTCTGATGAATTTTTGAGGTGCATCTTTAATTCTACATTTTAAGGCTGCAACCTTATATAAACTTTTTCCCTATATAAAGGACTTGGCACATAAATAATAAGATATTATAGGTTACAGAATTATCTTCTTCTAAAAGTCTTGGTGACTAGAAGTCTCAAAAGCTTGAGCTGCAAATAATACCAAATGAAATGCAAAAGAGCTTGAGATGCGGTTGGAGTTGTTGATCATTCTCCAATTTTATGCAATTTGTTGATGTATTAAACTCTTGTTGAGGTTTCTAACTAGGGTAAGGTAACTAAGGTTTGTCTTTTCTGTTACTGTCATTTTCACTTTGAGCATGGCTTTCCATAAGCTTTGGAAGTGTGCTGTGTCTTTCTTTGAGGAATTTCTCTTACAATTCCTACCCAGGGATCCCATATTGACTGTTCTTGTTCTAAGATTTTTTCTTTTCAAATTTTTGAATTTTTTGGATAAAATCATGGGAAAATAAATTAACAAATAAAAATATAAATAGTCACAGTTAGAATAGCATGAGATTTTCAAATAACTGGAGATATTGTCTTAAGGCAACACAATTTTTCAGTCGATTCATGCAAACTTGCTCACATCCCACCTGATGCTGCCAGCTGTTGCTCTGTGGAGTGTCACAATTGGTTTATATTTTGGTAAGGACAACCTATCTTAGCATTTGAAAACAAAAAAAATGATATGTAAGCTTAGGGCAAGCATCAATTGTGCATTATCTGGTTGCTCTGAAATCCCATGACTAACTATTGGGGGTCTCCTTTCTACTTGTCATCCACGTATTCTAACTCGAGATTCTTTAAGTCCCCTATTTGAATAATGTTAATGGATACTTTTTCAAGTTGTCACCCATTCCTTCCTACTTTTTACTACTCTTCAGGTCTCCTTCTCTAGGATTCAATGTCATAATGCTATAGTTTGGAAGCTGTAGCTTATGTTTGTGATATATATATATATATGTATACACACTCACTTATATGCCCCTGTTTTGTACATGGAGCATTTTTTTTTAGTAAGGGTATTTTTTATCATTAGGAGGGGTGCGACATCATCCACATGGGGTGCTCCATGTGGGTGATGTCACACCCCATGTGGATGATGTTACACCGCTCCTGACAAAAAATGCCCGTACTAAAAAATATTGTATTACAAAACAAGGGTATATAAGTGTCCAAAATTTGTTGAGTATAATTATAAAATGCTCTATAGTGTGAGCACCGTAACATAACCTATATATATATATATATATATATATATATATATATATAGTAGTGTACGTTGTTACGTAGTAGTACTACTAACTAACTAACTACGAATACGACTACTACTACTATA